CACACCAACTGGGTAAAGAATTTTTTTTTTTTTTTTTTTTTCTGAGTAAAAGTCTTGGTCTGTCACCCAGGCTGGAGTGCAGTGGCGTGATACCAGCTCACTATAACCTCTACCTCCCAGTTTCAAGCAATTCTTGTGCCTCAGCTTCCCAAGCAACTTGGACTAAGGTGTGTGCCACCACACCTAATTTTTGTATTTTTAGTACAGACAGGGTTTCACCATGTTGGCCAAATCATCTTCAACTCCTGGCCTCAAGTGTCCACCCACCTTGGCCTCTCAAGCTGCTGGGATTACAGGTATGAGCCACCTCACGTAGCATAATAAGCAAGAATAAAATTCTTAAAAAAGGACACAAATATTTACAGTATAAATATATAATCTACGTACATTATAGGTTGGAAGCACAATATAACCTTGTACCATGTAATAGAAATGTAGATAAGTTCTTTCTTATGTATTTTTTATATTTAACAATTTTTTTTTTTTTTTTTTTTACAATGAGCATGTAATACATTTAAAATAAAATGGTCTTGTCTTGGGGTAGAAGAGGTGAAAGGGGAGGCAGGGGAGCAGACACACTCAGTGTAACTTTATGTAAATATATTGCAATTTCTCACTTTTTGGCTTTTTCATTTCTCTAAAAATGTTTCTATATTGTACCAATCCCTGCTCCACTTGCTTTAGATTCAATGCTCCTAACATAGAAGGGTCCGTGTCATAAAAGCCATCAAAAACTGTCTTGAATAATCAGAATGCTTCCGTGGGATTACCTGGCGTCAGCTCTGGCACGACTTCTACTGTGTCTTCCTCCTTGTCATTTGGCTCTGGTTCAGAAGCACTCACCTCCTTCAAGTCACCTTCTGTTAATTCCTCTGGTGCGGTGACTATTAGTACTTGAATTTTTAAATTTTTTAAAGAAGATGAGGTCTTACTATGTTGCTCAGGATGGTCTCAAACTCCTGGCCTCAAGCTATGCTCCCACCTTGACCTTCCAAACTGCTGGAAATACAGGCATGAGCCACTGAACTGGCCCAAGATCCATACCTTGAAACCCTTCATCCTCTACCTTTTTTTTTTGGCCATATCCACAATCTCTTTCACAATTTCCTAGACTGGCTCTGTCGTAAATCCTGTGAAAACATCTGGACATAGTTTTCTCCAGTAGAAATATATTGTTTTGGAGGTTGATTGCTTTCATGACTTCCATCTATAACAACAATGGCATGTTCAATGGTATAATCCTTCCAGACGCTCATGATGTTTTCTTCTATCAGGGTGGAACACAATCCTTGGTGACAATCCTTTCTTCTGAGTCCTGAAAGTAATGAGCCTTAAAGGTCCTTATGAACCCTCATGTAGAGCCTGAATTAGAGACGTTTGGGTACAAGTAGACCACTTTGACACCTTGGATGTTTAAATCATGGGGTTCTGGGTGGCCAGGGTCACTGTCCAAAATCAAAACAACTTTAAAAGACAGTTCCTTGCTGGCTAGGTACTTCCTGACTTCAGTGACAAAGCATCAGTGGAACCAATCCAGAAAAAAAGGTTATCATTGTCTAGGCCTTATGTACAATTAAAAAACGAGCAGCTGATGTTTACCTTTTCCCTTCAAGGCTCAAAGTAACAGCTTTAAAGACAAGGGCGGTCGCGATCATAAACCCTATTGCATTTGCTCAAAACAGTAGAGTTAGCCTATCCCTTTCTGCCTTAAAGCCTGGTGCTTGCTTCTTGTGATGGTTAATACTAAGTGTCAACTTGATTGGATTGAAGGATGCAAAGCATTGATCCTCAGTGTGTCTGAGACAGTCTTGCCAAAGGAGATTAACGTTTGAGTCAGTGGGCTGGGAAAGGCAAACCTACCCTTAATCTGGGTGGGCACCATCTAATCAGCTGCCAGCACAGCCAGAATATAAAGCAGGCAGAAAACGTGAAAAGACTAGACTGGCTTAGCCTCTCAGCCTACAACTTTCTCCTGGGCTGGATGCTTACTGCCCTTGAACATTAGTTAGTCAGCTTTGGGACTCAGACTGGCTTCCTTGCTCCTAAGCTTACAGTTGGCCTATTGTGGGACCTTGTGATCATGTGAGTTAATACTTCTTAATAAACTCTTATTTAGATATATATACATAATAATATATATCTATATATCCTATTAGTTCTGTCCCTCTAGAGAACCCTGACCCTGACTAATACACTTCTTTTCCTTACTAACAAATGTCCTTTGTGGCTTTTTTTTTTTTTCCCCCAGAATGGGGCACATTTGTCTGCATTAAAAACCTGTTCAGGCAGATAGCCTTTCTCCTCTATTATTTTCTTAATGGTGTCTGGGAACTTGTCTGCTGCCTCTGGTTCTCCTGTTATCTTGACATTTTTAAAGCCAAACCTCCTTCTAAAATTATCAAGCTATCCTTTGCTGGCATTAAATTCTCCCGCTTTAGATCCTTCACCGTCCTTTAAAGTTGTCATATAATAACTTGGCTTTTTCTAGAATCATAGTAGAGTCTGTAAGTATGCCTTTTTATAAAGGTATTTTGCAAAAAATGCAAAGTTTTAATGTCTGCCAGTGTAGCTGCAGAAACAGCTTCACAAATTTCCTTTTTTTTCCCCCCAATGTTACTTAGACTTTATTTATACTGAAATGATAGACAACTGCAGTTACAGATTTCAATCTACCATACGTATCAAGCAAATCAACTCTTTCTTGTAATGTCATGACTTTTCTCTGCTTCTTGGGAGCACTTCCAGTATCACTAGCTGCACTACATAGGGGTTGCATGGTATTATTTAATGTTTATAGTGCTGTACTACCCACAATAAAAAATACATGAGAATCTAACTGCAAAAGATCACTTTTTGTGATCTACTAAAGAGACAAGCTGTTTATGCAGAGATGATTAGCATTATATGGCATTTTAAGTAGATACCTGCAACACTTTAGCTCATCATAATAGCAACACGAGGTGGCTACAAAATTATTACAGTAGTACAGTAAGTATCATAGTTAGTTTTATGCAATTTGATTGAAAACTGCATCTTTACATTTGTTTATATTTCTCTTGACTCCAAACGGCACTACATAAAGTCTGTAAGGGTTTATATAAGTTTTGATAAATTTTAACTTTTTATGGTAGATTTGTGTATATTTTATGGTAGTAAATGATGAAATAGACTAATATCTACATTTTATGCATTCATGACATACTTTAGATTTTTTGGATATTTCTAAGCTATGCAGTTGTGAGTTTTTTCCAAATTGTCTCAATCTCCAGAAAATTTTCTCATTTATTTAAAATCTGCATTTTAGTGGATCCATGCAGTTCAAACCCATGTTGTTCGAGAGTCAATTGTATTAGAAACTGAAATATGTCATGCATATTACCATTCCAATTTTCACTTTCTATCTGAAGTTCCTCCAAGCCTGCCCTCTTCTTATTCACATAGTGCTAAATGTAGTCACATAATTTTTATGAAGCCAATTATGCTTTGAAAGGCCCCTGTAAAGAGACTGCTAGATTGTAAATAAGGACCTTCCACGCCTTGCTATCACTTTAATTTTACCTTGTTCTCCACCACTCTTTTCTATACCAGGTTTTGATCTTTTCTTTCTCTCTCTTTCCATAACATAAGTCAGACTCCACACAGCCCAAATGAACTGCATCTGAATTGGGAAAACATGTTTTAAAAAATATAATTTACCCAGTCTCTTTTCTCTGTCTCATTAATATTGTCTGTGACTACATAAACCACCATATATGCAAATGTTTTAACTGAGCTTACTATAAAATACCTTGTGCAAGCCAAATATGTTCACGGGTGTACTGATTTTGAGGATGATGCTATGATTGCTGAGTCAGCTTCAAACAGTGTTCTGCATAAAAGTACCTAAGGGAATGATTTGACAAGTCTCTCAAAAGCAGGACAGAGAAACATGAATATGCATTAAATCCCTAAGTGGTAAAAATAGTTACTTATGTAGCAAGTGACAGATGGCAATATAAGAATCATAGTGTAGGAAAGGCATTTAAATAACAAAAGTAGTATCGTTCTTACACTATAGCACAGTAAGAAAAAAAAAGAAAAGCCTCACCTGTCATCTCTGATGTGGTAGAAAAATCCATAACCATTGTGTACCATGGGAACCACCACTCCCTGGACACGTAAATAACCAATCAGACTTGTTGAGAGAACAAAATTTCCACCTCCTCCACTGTGTAGCACAATAAAAGAACATTTTACAAGGCCTACGGATGCTTATATTGTTTCTAAAAAGCATTTAACATACAAAAAAAAAGAAGCCAACTGATGAAGTTGTAAAATACTACAGTATATTACCTTTTGGTAAAAAGTGGGTCTGTAAACAGTTCTGGAACAGGAAGACCTTCCTCTTTTGCTATGAGTGAAAGACCTAAAAGGTGACGGTCAAATCCTACAAGGAAACCCCAAATCTGAAGTTAGAAAAAAATTTTCACCATGAGAGATTTTTTTTTAAGTCAGAAAAATGTTAAACATAAGTACCTTTTCCAGCTGAACAATCTTTCATCATTTTATTATGTTTTGCAAAAGCTTGTAACATCTTTTGCTGCTGCTCATGAAGCTGTATTAAAAATCAAAGGACACTTCAATAACAAACTGTACAGAACTCAACTAGAAAAAAATCCTAAGCTCACTATAATTAGGATTTGGGAAATGTGGGAAAAGAAAGAAGATTTCTAGGAAGATCTGTAACACATGCTCCTATGTATTTTCTTTAATTATTCTATCACCTATTTTTCTCTGTATGTCTTGCTTTTTATTTCTTTCCTGGAATAGGAAAATATGAATTTGGGGATAGCACTGGTGACATTAACAAGGACAAAGATAGAAGCAACTGAGATTTCAAAATGAAAGCATAACTACAAAAAAGACAATAAAGTGGTTGTATGAAATTAAGACACAGGCACTCAGATATAACCACAGCTAGCAAAACTAAAGAAACAAATATACTAAAACAACAGTGAGAAGGAAATTCACTGTTGTCTAAATGCTTAAAAAAAAAAGAGTATGGAACAAAGCATACAACTGTCCTGAATTTAGTACATGAAACAAGAATCTGTGATTTCAAAAACATTCAATCACATCAAGAAAAGCTTCCTTTTAATGGCACTTTAGGAGTTTTGTGCTTATTGGTATTGTTCTAAAGGTAGATTAGAAGTACTGAAATACGTAAAGTACTGAGGACCCTTTGCCTAGAAAGTAACACAAACAGGCTTCTTTTCCCACCTTCCCTTTTCCTTAGTCTTTACAAATACACATTTCACTGGTGAATGAACAAATGCTTTGAAAACCTCAGAAGAGGATGTCTCAAAATATTTTAATGATCCAGAAAAATTGAAGCAAAGAAGTTAGTTACTCAAAGACCACCGTTCCTTTAGAACAATTCAACAAATCTTGTTAGTGTTTTTCTTTTCCAATACTCACAGTAGTGGAAGGATCCTGCATGGACTGGCACCACCTGACTGCTTCAACTGTGCATGATCGCACAGTCTCTGTACGGCCATGATAAAAATATCTTGTCATAGCTGTTTCATAGCAACAACCAGGGCTACAAGAAAAAATTATGAGTGTATCATAAGAAAGAAAATGCTCTAATATCATTACAGATACCGTTGCCTAATAAAGCTAGCTTCGTTCAGAGACTAGGCTCTCTAACACAGGTGGGTTGAAGACTTTTAATAAAAAAGAGGCTATTTTCAATATCAAAGAGCAAAAAGTACTCTGATAATGTAGGCTGTTTCAAAGGCCTGACTACTGTCAGGTCATATACATTGCAGTCTGTAGCAGACAGCCTCTAAGATGGCCCCCAGGATTCCTGCCTCCTGCTATTTATGCTCTGCTGTAACTCCTCACTTTGAGCACAGGCTAGACAGTGACTTGCTTCTAATGGAGAGAATACAGCAAAACTAATGGGATATCACATCTGAAATTAGGGTACAAAGAGAGTTCTCTCTTGTTCTGTTATTTCTCACTCTGAAGAAAGCCAGCTGCCATGCTGGGGGCTGCCTGATGGAGAGGCTCTAGCGGCAGAAAACTGAGAAAGGCCCTCTGGACAACAGCTAGGGAGGAGCTGAATCCTACTAGACCCTCAGGAGAGCAGCTGAAAACAGCCTTGGCTTATACTGACTACAGCCTCATGAAAAACCTGAATTAAGTCAGAGGTACTCAACTGAGCTGCATCACAAAAAATGACCCGCAAAATTGTGTTATAAAATTACTGACCCACAATATGTGATATAAAAAATGTATGTGTTTTAAGCCACTTAGTTTTGGGGTGATTTATTACACAGAAGTAGGTAACACAGAGTCCTTGATCTTTAGTTCCTTCAGAATAAAGTAGAACTATAATTTAAGAAGTTCCCCAGAGTGATATCTGATTTCCTGGGTGGAGAATGATATAGCAATTTTAGGTATAAAAGTCTCTTCTGTTCAGTGCTTCTGTCTCTCTGGAGTGAAATGCTATCCCTTCAAAGTGTGAAGGAGGAAGTCTGAGTAATACCTTTAAACAGCACTAAAATAACATTCTTTCAGAAAGCAAATTAAAAATAAAAGCAGTAAAAATGAATAATAAAATAACACCACTCTGTAGCCTCAAATGAAATAATGAATCTTGGCTATGATCTTCAATGGCTACTAAAACATTAGGTAAAAAATTCAGGGAGTAAACTTTTTTTTTTTTTTTTTTTTGAGACGGAGTTTCGCTCTT